GACTGCCAGTTGTCCTTGTGCCAGGCAGACAGATGTTACATGGTCCAGAGGGGGGCGTTTCCCCATCTATCCATCAGAAAGTGACATCAGGTCTCACAACAGTGCTGCGCTGATCCCACAAAGTCCTATGACTCAGACTTGGAGTGGCTACCTGGTCAGCTTCTTGGTTTTACCATGGAGAAAAATACCTGGGCTATCCAGAGCAGTCCTGGCCAAGCAGAGCCTGGAGGCGGGTCTTGATCCCTGTGCAACTCTGTGAGGCCCCATCTCACAGGTCCCCTGCACCACCCCAGGCCAGCTGTCTTCACAGGACAGCAGCTGCCACATGTGTCCTTTGAGGTAATCAAAGGAAACTTTCCAAAAAGGAATACTCTCCCCCCACTTCATGTACCAAAACTCGGAGTTTCCATGGTGATAGTCAAATTGCAAATCCATCCAAGAGTGAGCTGGTGGGGGAAAAGAGGGAGTTTGGCCCATCCCCAGAGAAGCAGGCATAGCTGGCACCAAGTGTCTGTCCAGTGCTGAGGATGGATGCCCAGAGAAGCAGGGCAGCCCTTTTGGGTGTGATGGGGAAATCTCAGGGACACCAGGCTCCCCAGAAAGTGGTTCAGGAACTCAGGCCACCAAGGAGGGAAGGCAGGAGGGAGTCTCTTCCCCCCACCCTCATCACAGAGCCTAGTGAATCCATGTAATGATACTGCTTCTCCTGAAGGCAATCGGGACTGGCTTTTCCCTGGGGGTTTCCCATCTTCGATCTGAAAACTAAGGCGTGGGCAGAATGCAGAGGCTCGTCACTGAGCCATCCCAGACACAGCCTTTAGGGAATTATAGGAAAAAAAATTTTTTTAAATCAGGCCTCAGACATTCCAAGTGTTTTGTGGAGGATGGAAGAGCAAGGGCCAGAAGATTTATGAGCCTAAAATCTTCGTTAATAGACCCAAAAGATTTACGATGCCAGCTGCTGTTTGGAGGGAAGGTGGCAATGGTGATCGAATGGCAAATTAGCCCAGGGTTGGGCCTTACAGGGACAGGAAGACAAAAGAGCTGCTTCCTTGGCCATGAGAGGAAGCTATGACTAGTAGGGTAAAGAATGTTTGTGTGAGCTGCCCTTGGCCCAATCTTCTCCCCGAGCCTCTTTCCTTAGAGACAGGAAGTGCCAAGGCCAGGCTCTGACCGACACAGCAAACTTATTTCAGTTTGTTTCTTTCAAGTAGGGTTTATGAGAACAGATTAGAAATGGGATTTGGGTCTGCAGCACAAAGCCTTCCACACCGAGGCCTAGCTCCAGTTTGAAATCCCAGGCACAATGAGACAGGGGCAGCTCATCCTAGAGCATGACTACGTAGCTGGCTGGTCTTTGCTCTGTGACACTCTCGTGAACTCTTATCATGAGGCTAAGGCTGTCCCTGCTTTATCATGACTGGGCCCTTTGGGGTGTGTGACAGGAGAAAAGAGTAGGTCAAATGATAGAAACTTAGGGATGTTTACTGGGTGAGTTTTCACCTTGTACAACACAGGAACCCCACAAAGACAAGGCAATATGGGTGTCCTTCACCTCACCTCCTGCTGCTATTTTGGACAGACATACACCTCCTATGTTGCATGGCACCTGTGTCTTGTGATTTTAGTCTCACTTCTGTGACTACATATAATGGAGGGAGAAGGCGAGAACAATGGGACAGATAAGCTTGCCACCATAACCTGAGTCCTGGGATACCCTACCCCATAGTCTACTGCCCAGGCCTTTGCCATTTTCCCATTGGCAACAAGGGATCCAGGAGATACTCAACACCCCCAGCGATTCCATGTCCACCTTAGCCTCTAACTACACAGATACTGCAGGTCAGCTGGGGAAAGGAGAGGTAGAAGCTGTGACATCTCCAAGTCAGGAACTATGACTTGATGCCAGAGCACCTGGAAAGCCAGTGTGAAGGTCAGTCACCAGCTCTCCACAGGGACTGTTTTCCCACTGAGTTCCACAGTACCTGGCTCCCCTTCTGGCAGAGTTTCGGGGAGCATTAGCCGCGATCCTCCTTTAGCCATACCAAAGGAGGACATTGGGAGCCACTTGCTCCAGATGTCTAACAAGCATCCTTGCCTCCTGCCCACCTCCTCCCACCCCTTTGTCTAGGGACCACAGGACTGATGTTTAGTCAGCCAGGAAATGAGTCAAAACAACGTAAGTGCTTACAGCACTGATGCCCGCGGGATCTGATCTCAGTGGACCGCTGCTCAAAGCCACACAGTCCCGGATCTGAAAAGCAACTATAAAATAAGCCAAGTGTCTCCTTGTATTTCTTAGGTTCCATGAAGGAGAACACGGCCCATTGACATTCCTCCTCTTTTTACTTCTACATCAGAAAAGCCACAACAGAGTCTTTCTGCCAGGCAGAGGGAGAGGACCATAGCAGAAAAGGGGGCAGATCCTTGAGCAGAAGGAGGGAGACATGGGACAACCATGTAATGTAGTCATCATATTTGCCCTATGCCTTGGGTCACTCCCTAAAGAGGAGGGCCCCCGAGATCCTTGGTGGGCAGGGGAGTGTGCTTCTCCTGAAAGTGAGAAGAGCCTTTGTAGAGGGTGAAACTGGGATCTATGGGATTTTGGGGGGGGATCTATGGGATTTTTTTTTTGGTCAGTCGTGAGGCCTGAACTCTGGGCCTGGGCGCTGTCCCTCAGCTCTTCAGCTCAAGGCTAGCGCTCTACCACTTGAGCCACAGCACCACTTCTGGCTTTTTCTGCTTATGTGGTGCTGAGGAATCGAACCCAGGGCCTCATGCATGCAAGGCAAGCGCTCTACCACTGAGCCACCTTCCCAGCCCCTCCATGGGAATTTTTGTTTGTTCTGTGCCGGTACTGGGGCTTGAACTCAAGGCCACCTGCTCTCGCTTGACTTTTTCACTCAAGGCTGGTGCTCTACCACGTGAGCCACGTCCTTCTCCACTTCCAGCTTTTTGCTGGTTAATTGGAGATCAGAGTTTCATATATATGTCTGCCTGGGCTGGCTTTGAACTGAGATCCTCAGATCTCAGCCTTTTGCATAACTAGGATTACAGACCTGAGACACTGGCACTCAGCAAGACCTGTGTTTTTGCTGGACCTGATAGGCCATGTCAGGGTCCCTGGTGAGGGACATTAAGGCCTGGAGATGAGCATGACCAGCGATGATGGTGATGAGAAGATTAACTCCAGACCAACAGGTGGTGAAACTGGCAGGATGTGAGGTGTGAGGGTGAAGGTGATAATACCTCTATAAAGCACCTACTGTGTGCTGGCCATTCAGCTGTGGAAGCCCAGTACTGAGGCTCTATTATAGGGCCAAAAAACGGCCGGCCAGCTTTGAGCCTCTGGATGCCCGCATCTGGGACCTGTGACTACCTCAGCAGAAAGGTGACATAGATTGAGGCACAGAAACTTTCCAGGAAGTTCCAGATCCAGATGGAAGCCCCATTTCCCCTTCCGGTCTCTCTAGCAGATTTCCCTAACTGAGCAGGCACTTCCTCCTGTTGAGCCTAATGCAGTCTGAGAATGTTGCATGCTGCTCACAAAGGACTTGGCAGATCAAATGAAACCTATTAGCCACCCTGGGTATAGATCAATCCTGTTTCTAATCTTATCTCCTACCAAATGAGGGCCTGCAGCTCAGGGCTGTTGAGAGTGTTAAGACTGGCTTTCTAAGCACCTAACACTGTCTGCAAGACCCCAACCTGCTCTCCCTCCCCTCTCTGTAACTGGCATTTTGCATTTCAAAGTAAAACACATCAACAGAGGCCCTCATTGGTCACCTATGAGAGCTGGTTACCTTTGATTTCACACCTTTCTGTGCATTTTTACTTATGATCCTTACAGCCTTTAATTAACATGCTATGCAAATTGATGAGAGGAGTCAGGAAAGAGGCCAGAGCTCTTGCATTAAAACCAAGTCTTTGTAAGATCTTGATAGAAGGGAGGGGGGAAAAAAACCTACTGAATTAAGTGGGCAGGACAAGTGTAAAAAACAGGAGGAAGAAATGGAAAAATATAGAAAGATTTCACAGTCACATCGCTTTGCAGTGTCTTTAAGCTCCTGCTTCAGCTTAAAGCATCTGAAACAAGTCATAAATACTGAGACTTGGATTCAGTTTATACACACAGGGCTGTGTGGGCCCCATCTCTAAGCCCTGAAGCCTGCCTCATAAGGTGGGCACATAGATGTACATTTCTATGTTTAAAATGAAAATAGACTGTTTGGAGGATGAATATATCCTGTATCACGACACCCACTGTCGAACCAGCCAAATCTGGTCTTCTTGAGTATAGAAAAGAAGCCTTTTACTGTGAGAGCTCCTTCTCTTCCCCCCCACCCCCAGTTCCACCCCCTCCCTGTTCCTGAGATGGTGCCCTCTTCCCTCTCATTGGTACTTCACTGGGTGGACTGAGATAAGGATCCAGGCCTCCTGGCCCTCGTTCAGCTCTTCTGGGGAGAAGATCCTCAGGTTCTCAGGTTCTGGAGCCTGTCAGAGCCTGCTCCTCTGACCTGTAGCCTGGGCTTCAGTGTTCTCATCTATGAAATGGGTGGCACTATTTCTTATGGGTTATTCTGAAACCTTTAGCCTTACTAGGTGGGAGGCCTTGGAATCGCTTTGCCTACACCAGTTGGGATCATTAGCTTCTGCCAGGCAAGGAGAGAGGGTGTCAGAGAGGGTGAGTGGGGGTAGGGGAGAAGTCTGACGGGGGAGCTAGCCCTCCCTGCTAGAGCTGGGCATACAGAGCTCAGATCCTAGCTTCTGCATATCAGCTTTCCCCTCTGACTAGCAGAAGGAGGACTCCACCATCACCTCACCCCCCCACACACACGCGCACACCAGTGCCTTACCTCCAGACCCCCAGCAGTGTTTCTTATGCCCTAGCTGGCTGAGGTTCTCGGTCATTTTGTCATGGCAGGAGAGAGGCCTGGCCTGACCCCCTCTGTTCAAGCAGCAGCAGGAAGGGTGATCTCTCTTTATGTCTATCTTTCCAGTGGTTTCCAGTGACAGTGATAGTGACTCAGATCTCAGCTCCTCCAGCCTGGATGACAGACTTCCGTCCGCTGGGGTCAGGGACATGAAAGGTGATAAACCTGGAGGAGAATCAGGTAAGTGTGGGAGGCCGACTGTTTGTTTTCCAAGCCGGAGGTACAGAACGGCTTGGCTGAACTCCTCTGATAGAAGCTTCCCTGTCTAGGGTATGAAATTGTTGTAGATGAGGTGGGGTTATGCTTAGAGAGTGCTCCCCCATGAGTTAAAGCCTTAGTGCTCCTGAAGAGCCACGTGGACTAGAGGCTGGTCTAGCCAGCCATGCCCTCTGCCTGGACACCAAGCTCCCCCAGGAACATTCCCCAGCTGAGATTTTGTCTTGTGAATGAAAAAAAGCAAAACCAAAAAGAAAACTGAAAATCAGGCACAACGCTTGCGTAGCTAGTCCGGATCCACTTGAAACTGCAGTGGAGTCCTTATTCCTGCTCACCTCCCTGCTGGCCCTTCTTTTTTAGCACAAGGGAGATGGAGCAGAAAAGTTCCTGATTTTGCTATCTGTGTAACATCACTTCTGTGACGGTCATATGACAGAGGGTTAACTCCCATATTGAAGGAGAAAAGAGAAGGCCTTAGGAAGGAAAAGGAAAGCAGTTTCCTTACCTTCAAATCAGGTGAAGAATGTTCTGGGAACTGGGTTTTTTGTCTTTTTATTCTTGGGAGGGTTTTGGTGCGAGTACCAGGATTGAATTCAAGGCCTCATATTTCTCAGTCAGCTTGCTTGTTCATGCTGGTGCTCTACTGCTTTGAAACATGCCTTCAGTCCAACTTCTTTGCTGGTTAATTGGAGATAGAGTGTTGTAGATTTTTCTACTAAGGCTGGCTCTGAAACTTGATGGTCAGATCTCAGCCTCCTTAGTAGCTAGGATTATAGGTGTGAGCCACCTGTGCCAGGTGAGGAACTGGAACTTTGAAAGAAGTTTCAGGAAGGTCAATTTTAGTGCAAAATTTAGTCTTATAATAATTGCCCCAAACTGGACTTTTTTAAAAAACTTCAGGTGTTGTCCTAAAACCAAGTCTGAGTGATCCTCTGCCAGAGCTGATGTGAAAGGAATTTCTGCTAGGAATGGAAGTTTGGGATCGATCAGAGGTAGTAAAGGCTTGGGCACACATTCTATTTCTCAGTGTCTGATGCTATGGCAGACATTACTAGTCGATCATGAAATACTTTTTTTTTTTTTGTCAATCATGAGGCTTGAACTCTGCCTGGGTGCTGTCCCTCAGCTCTTCAGCTAAAGGCTAGCATTCTACCACTTGAGCTACAACACCATTTAAAGTTTTTTGAGTGGCTTTTTAGAGATAAGAGTCTCATGGCTTTGAAACGTGATCCTCAGATCTCAGCCTCCTGAGTAGCCAGGATTACAGGCATGAGCCACTAGTGCCTGGCTTGAGAGAGAATTATTTAATGAATATAAACAGGAAGTAATATCTCCTCTTTACAGCTGAGTTAACATACTGTTCCTCCACCCTCATTCTGTAAAGATAGGAAAAGCTAGTAATTATGCATTTTCACATTGTTCCTTAGTGAAATGTCCTAGGGTCCATTCTGTTGCCTTGGTATATCAGGCCAATTAACAGAGGCAGAAGTTAGGTCCTGTTAGAAGATTCTTGAAGACAGCATCCATGTGAATGAGAGTAAACTCCCAACATAGGAGTTGCGAGCAGATAGTCCTATGATTCCAAATGAGAAGATATGACCAGCTCCTGGCTAGGCTGAGTTTTATCCCTGACTCAGTTTTGGATCCAGGCAGCACAGAGCCATGCAGGCCCACATGTGGTCTCTTGCAGGTGGCAGTGTGGGGGCCCCCTGGATGGAGCTCACCCGGCTGCCCAGCCACCTCTCTGGGAGCCAAAGCAGTTTGGCCAGCAAGGCTGGGGCAGGTCCTGCAGACCCACAGGGAGGCACCCTGCCCCAGCCTGAGCCCAAGGGTTCTGGTGAGTATCACCCACACCTCCTAGATGCCACTTCTTCCTGCGCCCTGCTCACTTGCACACACACACACACACACAGCCCTCTTCCTCCTCTAACACTCCATAGTGGTACAGTAGTGTGTAACATTTTCAGTTCTCGGTGGTGGCCAAGCATGGTGCCAGATGCTGGGGGGTGAGGTACTGGTGACGCCTGGGTTCTGATGGACACACAGAAGCAGAGAGAGACAGATAACAGGTCTTGAAGCATTCAGCCAATGGATGGAGAGGATCTGGCCCAGAGCACAGGCTCTCTGCACTTGGCCCAGCCTTGGCTCTCTGCCTCCCACACCTCCGTGGTTCCTTTCAGATGAGCAGAAGGCATACGGCTGTGTGGGAACTGACTGACCCAGTGAGGACCCATTCCATCCCCACCTGTCCTCACTTCTCTTTCTTCTCCCAAAGGCAAGAGATACACCTGGGCGAGTCCTCGCTGTTGATGTGGCCTCAGTCCGTCCCTCAGCCTGACCTGGGCTCTGATGTTTGTTTCATGAAGCTAGTTCTCCAATGGAAACTCTGAGAGAGAGAGAGAGAGAGAGAACATGAGCACTGGAGCCAGGCTGCCAGGCTCCTTTCTGAAGGGGGCCTGAGCCCATCACCCTGTGTCCCTGACCTCTAACTTAAACCAGTGTTTGGGGGCTGAACCTTCTAGTCCCACCCAGTGCCTTTCTGCACCCTCCTGGCAAGGGCCTCTTCATCCAACACTCCTCTTACCCCCCCCCCCCGCCCTTACCTGTATTTATTGTCCTTCCCTATCCCCCCAGACTGCCCCAAGTTCACGTTTAGGGTCTTGGGCTGGCTGGAAGGGCCCTTCCTGTATGCACTGCAGCTGTGTCCTGCAGGGCATTCTCTGGAATGGTGGTCACAGTGAGAACTGTAACCCTGAGTGTTCCCTTCATTGTGTAGGTATACACGGAGCCCAGAACAGCGGGGAGGAGACATGGCCATACTTTGCCTTGCTCCAGGAGCTCTGTTTAGCCTCACTCATTGTTAGGTTTCTTGAGTCCCTCCATGGGCCTCCCAGACTTTTCTCAGCCAGGAAACATGTCTCCCCTAAGACATGAATTCACTGATCTTTAGTAGATGCTGGCTGGTATGAAAAATACTCAGTATAAATGCTTCTGAAAAACCCTCTCCTGAAAACAGAATGTGTGTGTGTGTGTGTGTGTGTGTGTGTGTGTGTGTGTGTGTGTGTGTCTGTGTGTGTCTGTGTGCATGCACGCGCGCGTCTGTGTTTGTACGTGTGTAATGTCTCTCTTTCCTTCCCCCACCCACCCCAGTCTCACAAACTGGGAGCTCCCAGGCCTTAGCCTTTCTCTTTGCCACTGGCAGAGGTAGAAAAACTCACTGTTTTCCTGTGACATGTTATGCTTTAGAATTGAAACAATAAAGATTAGAATTTGCATTGAGCTGGTGTGGTGATCAAAGACCCTGATGGCCTGTGTTTCTGAGCTGCATCAGGAGAAGTGGATGAGAGAAAAGAAAAAACAAAACAACACAAAAAAACATAGTTCCATTGATTTGCTGCTGTGAAAGGAATGAACTAGATCTATGTGTGTCTTAGAGTTCACAACCCTAATGCTGAGTAAAAAAGCAGGCCATCTAGGTAAAAAAAAAAGAATCTAAATGAGTTACACATATGTACCTGTATATGGGTTTATGGGTTTTGTGTGTGTTTTTGGAGTGGAGGGATATACTAAGAATTGAACCCGAGGCTTACATGTGTTAAACAAGCTGAGTGCTAAAACAAAACAAAAAACAACCAAAAAAAGCATACACACACATACACACTTTTTTCCCCCCATCATGGGGTTTGAACTCAAGGTCTAGGCGCTATTCCTGAGTTCTTTTGCTCAAGGCTAGAGCTCTACCACTTTGGGACATAGCTCCACTTCCAGTTTTTGAGTAGTTAACTGCAGATGAGTCTCACAGGGACTTTTCTTCCCAGGCTGGCTTTGAACTGTGATTCTCAGATCTTAGCCCCCTGAGTAGCTAGGATTACAGGTGTGAGACATTGGCACCTAGCTTTTGTTTTTGTTTTTTTGTTTTTTGTCAGCCATGGAGCTTGAATGCAAGGCCTGGGTGCTGTCCCCGAGCTCTTTTGCTCAAGGCTCTTTTGCTTTGCCACTGAGCCACAGCTCTGCTTTCCTTAAAAAGAAAATTTAATGGTTAAAGACTCCTGGTAACATACGGTGGCCTGAAGACATACATAATTTCTTTTGTTCCCCATCCCAGTTCCCTCTAAAATGACACAAAGATATTAAAATGGCATAAACCCCCAAAACTTACCTGAGATCATGAGTACTTCTCTGTGACTCAGTTTTCTCATCTGTAAAAATGAGGATTGTTATAAACATGAAAGCTGTACCAAGCATAGTGGTGGGTTTCTGTAATCCCAGCTACTCCAGAAGTGGAGTCAGGAAGATCATGGTCCAAGACTGGCCCAGGCAAAAGCACAAGACCTTACCTCAAAAACAAACTACAAGCAAAAGGGCTGAGGCACAGCTCATCTAGATGGCATAAAAAGACAGTGCAGTGACTGACTGATGGTACTTGGGACCAGCTAATGTTCCTACTCTGGCATTTGGGATTTTGGAAGCGTGATGCCCAGCTGGATCAATTCTGCCATTGGCTAGATCCTGAACAGTTGCTGGGATCTTGTTAGAGACTTTGGCGCAGTAGACGACAAAACAGACATGGCCTCTGTCCTTCTGGGTCACCCAGTAGACTAAAAACAGATCACCGGTGCCCTCCCCAGAATGACTGTTGTGAAGGTGAGGAGCTGAAGAGGAGCAGGCTGGGAAGGTACATTTTTACATCCCCAGGTGATGGAGAGGCTCCCTAGGTCGAGACTGCCGTGCAGACCCCTTGCTCTGTGGAAACCATTTCCCTGCATTTCCTAGAATTGACACCAGCTGGGGGACCTGACACAGACCTCGCAGGGGACAGAGGGGAGGGGAGGAAGACCAGGCTCAGTGTGCAAGGTGAACCCCCATCTCCGTGTGACTCCTCAGGAGAAGCCCTGCTGCGTGTCCCAACCCAGGACAGAGCTAATGCATCCATGGCAGGATCACCTCCAACAGCTCAGCTCATTAGAGCCATTTCCACCCCCCAAAAGTGGGAGCTGCCATCCTTCCTTAACATGACAACACCCACTCTCTGGCATTGCACCTCCAGGTTCCTAGGAGCCTGTGTTCTGGGTCTGCATGTCCCCGCTACTCCTGTGAATGTCGCTGTGTCCTGCCCAGTGCAGGGCGCAGCAGAGGGAGGCTGCCAACTCAGGCAGGTAGGCCTCCTACCAAGGATGCCAGGCAGCATGCCCACCCACCACCACAGTCCTCCATTCTACAGAGCCAACGCCAAAGACAAACGAAGCATTTTGCCATGATGGGAAGATTACCACTATGGCTTCTATCACACCTGCTACCAGCTCTGGGGAATCCTTATGTTCCTAAGAGTCACATCATTTTCACACCATCCATTTCACAGAGGAGGAAACTGAGGCCCGGAGAGACCCTGAAACACCTGTGTTTGCATCCGGGGCAGTTGAATACCAGAACATGCCCTTGAGGATTTGCTTGTAAAAACAAATCAGGATTCTGAGAACAGAGAAAGTTGGTATAGGCAGAAGGGCAGCCCCGCTGGGTCAGTAGCACAGATGGAAACTTCTAGAGAAGAACGGGAAGAAACAATCTCTTATCCTACTGCTACAAAGAAATTTTGCCAACACCCCTCCCCCCCACACACAACTTATTTTGTCCATGGCTCTGTGTAACCAAGAGTGGCAGGAACTGACATCTATCTTCCTTCATCAGGGTGAGACAGTGAAACAGCTGTCCCTTCCAGCCACATTTGGGAGAGTAAAGTGTGGCTTTGGCCTAGAGAGCTTCCAGAAGCTTCTGGTGATCAAGCAGCCCTACCTCCCCACCCAGGCTGTCTCTGCATTCACTCTCACCCCTCCAGGGCTATAAGAGCCAGGCCAGGACATGGCTGGCCCTTGCAGTCCAAGAGGAGGAGGAGGAGGATGCTTCACAGACCCCCAGCTCATCCCCTCACCATCCATACCCAGAATTTGTTTCCTTGTCCCAAATGGAAGCTCTGTACCCATTTAGCAGTAGCTCTCCACACCCACTTTCCCAGCTCCATAACCACCACCAACTTCCTGTGTCTTATTTCTGACCACTCTGTCCTTCCTTAGGGAGACAGTCCAATAGGGTCTGGCAGTATCCTCAGGGCCCACCTGTGCTGTGTGTATTTAGGGCTGAGTTTATACCCACTGTGTGGGCATAGGGCATCTTGCCTCTTCAGGTTTGTGTGTGTATATGCGCCAATATTGGGGCTTGAACTCGAGGCCGGGGCACCATCCCTTAGTTTTTTGGTGGTTAATTGGAAATAGAGTTTCACAGACTTTCCTGCCCAAGCTGGCTTAGAACTTCAGTCCTTAGATCTCAGCCTGCTTAGTAGTTAGGAAGACAAGCATAAGCTACTCTTGCCTGCCTTTCCCCAGTCTTCCATCCACAGACATTTGATTTGTTTTCCCCTCTTGGCTGTTGTAAATAATAATTGCCATCAATACAAACATCTGTTCAAGTTCCCACTTTCAACTCTTGGGTAAAAGCAGGTGTGGAATTGCTGGATCATATGCTAATTTTGTGGGGGGTTTTATGTATTTGTTTTGAGCCATTGTTTCATTCTAAACCAGGCTGCCCTAGAACTCTGTTTTCCTGCCTCTGCCTCCCAAGGACTAGGATTACAGGTATGCACTTCTCTACCCTTGTTTAATTGTTTGAGGCACACCATACTGCTTCTGCAGCAGCTGTACTATTTTATAGCCTCCAAAAGAGCACCAGAGTCTTACATCATTTCCTCTTACAGCCGATTGCTCTCCTGTACCTCCAAGGGAACAGGTGTCTGCTGGGGACCAAGGCTGCTCCAGCTTGGCTGGAGTCCTATTGGCCTCTGTACTAGCTGCTTGGCCCCCTGCCTGAGTAGGGCCCGGTGCTTAGTTTCTTGCTTTTCTGTTATCATCTGGAAATGCTTAAAATTTTTCAAATAAGATTCCCTCCTCTTCATCACAACTACTACCACCACCACCCCAGGCCTTGTAAGTTGTGTAGCTGCCTCTGAGTAGCCATGTCTTTCTGGGTGTAGACTCCACAAGTAACATTCCATCAACAGTCAAGGCCTTCATGGTGAGTCCTCAGACTCTTTGCTGAGGGGGCAGCCTGGGCAAGGGCCAGGGTCCCTGACTGGATGACCATGAACACAGGTCCTCATCATGGTGCTGTGTGTGTTACTACTCCCATCTGTGAGACAAGAGAGCGGTGCTAAACCATTTTCTAATAGTGTGAGGCAGTGGGTCAAACTGCCTGGATGAGACTAAAGGGAAAACCTGGTGCTGGCCTTGTCTCGACCACATGGAGAGAAGGCTTCTTCAGGCCCTACAGGAAGAGCACTGGTGGAGACCCACCACAACCAGATCCTGGTGCCCCCTGCAAACAAGGTCTGTATGTTCTTTTCCTCCGCTCCCCACAATGGTTGGCACAAAGCTCTGCCAGTGATCGGGGCTCCAACTTGCACACTAACCCCTTCAGGCTGTCTTGTGCAAGAAGCTAGGGAAAGCATTGCCCACCCCCAATCCCATCCCTGCAGAGTAGCAAGAGGAGGGGGAAGAGAATGGCAGGTGGAGGAGAGAGGTGGGTGGGAACTCTGAGAGCCCAGGAGCCCCCACAAGCTGCCACATCACCACTGAAACAGACTGAAACTCTGAGCCCTTTGATGCGGGCCCCAGGACGTCTGCAGCTTCTTCAGTGCCAATTACTGGAGGAATAATTCAGTGTGCACACCCCCTGCCTCTCAGCAGACACTCTTTGGGGACATTTTAAGTCTGACTGTACCTGCTGAGCAGCTGACAAGTGAAGCCTCTCCCTCCATCCCTCCCTCCTTCCCAATTGCCATTTCCTTCCCCCCTGCCCAGATTCTTTACGAGAAATAGAAGACCCAAAGCTGGGTCTTCCTAAGGATGGAGCCTGGCAAATTAGTCCTCTAGACCCCCTGTCAGTGCTTCTAGAATGTGGTAGAGCAGTACTAAAAGCTTTTGTCTTCCTCTGGCTTCTGAAAGGCAGAAGCTAAATCTTATTTATCTTTAAGTCCCTGGTTAGCTGTCAAGAAATACTGCTAAATTGATGGAGACTGAGTGGGTAGATGGATGGATGAATAGATGTGTGGATGAATGGATGGATGGATGGATCGATAGATGGGTGGATAGATGGAAAGAGGGATGATGGGTGGTTGGATGGACAATAGTGGATAATGGACAATGGGTGGATGATGGGTAGATGGATGATAAATGGACACATGGATGGGTGGATGGAGGGAAGGATGATGGGCGAGTGAATGGATGGATGGA